GGGGAGAGCGGGCATCCCTGCCTTGTCCCATTGGAAATCTCAAACGGGGAGGAGAGGAACCCCGGTTGGAGCACCCGTGCTGTGGGACCCGAGTACAGTGCAAATATTTGTTGTATCACTCGGGAGGGGATACTGTACGCCCCCAAATCCCCCCTCAGGAAGGGCCAGCCAAGGCGGTCAAATGCTTTATCTGCATCCAGCGCAAGTAAAAGAACCGCCCTGCTTAGCTCCCCTAAGTTATTGAAATACCACTGATAGTTTGTGAGCTTTATCTAGTCCCTATCTGCCTTTTATAAAGCCAGTCTGGTTGTCTTTAATGAGTGAGGGCAGTAGAGGGGCGAGTCTGTTTGCTAGGATCAGTGTTGAGTAGGGAGATGGGGCGTAATTTTTTGCAGTTGTCAATCGGTTTGTCGGGTTTTGGTAGGGTCACTATAGTGGCTATTAGCATCTCTGGCGGCAGGGCTCACCCCTCCATCGCTTGATGAAAGGTCCCCAGTAAGTGAGGCGCTAGTGTTGAGGCATATTTTTTATAGTATAGATTGGAGAGCCAATCCAGCACCAGGGGATTTACCCCCGGGCAGGTCCCGTATGGTGTCCTCTTTAGTTAATGTGAGAGGGTGGATCAGGTCCTCTATTTGTGTTTGCGAAAGCTGTGGGAGTTTAATTTTGTCAAGGACTGATTTCACTTCCGCGTCAGTGGAGGTATGTGTGTTGGGATCATGCGGCCACAGTTTCTTTGTCCCGTCTTACCCTATAATGTGTGCAATTCTGTTAGTGGAAAGTCTTTCTCGCAGTCTCGCTGCTAAGTATTTGTTTGCTTTCCCACTGAAATGGTAAGTAGTTGCTTTCAGTCTATTCAGTAGGTATGCGGTTTTAACTGAGTTTAGCGTGTGTAGTTTGCAGTAAGCTTGCTGGATTTCAACAGCAAGTTCTCTGGACGGGTTAGATTTCTTTTGATCTGACAGGTCCGCGATACATTTATGGCATTGGAGAAGCTCCTGTTGGTGTTGCCTTTTTAGGTATGCGGATCTTTTAATAAACAACACTCGGACGACTGCCTTATTGGCAAGCCAGACCGATGTATCAGATACATCTCCTCCACCAGTGAGGTGGAAGTAGTGATCGAGTTCATCCTTTACGTGTGAGGCAAAGGCAGTATCTGTGAGCATTGATTCGTTGAGTCTGCACTTGACTTGGAAGGTGTCATGTAGTGTTAAGTAAACAGGGCAGTGGTCTGACCATGCAAATGAACCTATCTTACAATCAGCTAATTGAGGGAGGGACGTGCCATCTAACAGGAACCTGTCTATGCGGGAGTAGGTATTGTGCACTGCAGAGTGAAACATGTAGTCCTTTTCTTTAGGGTGTGTAACCCTCCAGCTATCGTAGAGACCATGTTTAGAGATGAGAGCGGTGAGGTGTTTGCAGGTGTTAGATAGTCTTTTACCCCTACTGCGAGATGGCTTTGCAGACGTGTCCAACTGTGGCGACTGAATGAAGTGAAATCCCCACATAGTATAAGGCCTCCCTGGCGGTAGTCTTCCACCGTTTGGAGGAGTTTGGTTAAGAAATCCGCAGAGTCGGAATTTGGGAAATAGGCCGTGGCTGTTGTGTATTGGGCTGCGTTAAAGAGGCTCACAAGTATGATAAACCTCCCCTGCGGGTCTATGTATTGCCTCTCTATGTTGAGAGCCACATCCCTATGTATGAGGATCAATAGCCCCTTTGTTTTGTTAGTAGACATAGCGTGAAATTGGGTGGGAAATTGTTATTTGCCAATTTTTTTTACAGTTCCCCAATAACATTTTAGCAAGACTGTATCTACAGACTGCCAGGTTTTTTTTCTTTGCATCAGGACCTTTGATTTCCACCGTACATTTTACATTTCCTTGGTCAATTGATTAAACTGTTTAGTTCATTGTTGACTTTTACCCATGTAGACGTTGGTAGTTTTTATGTATTTACAGGGAGTGCAGAATTATTAGGCGAATGAGTATTTTGACCACATCATCCTCTTTATGCATGTTGTCTTACTCCAAGCTGTATAGGCTCGAAAGCCTACTACCAATTAAGCATATTAGGTGATGTGCATCTCTGTAATGAGAAGGGGTGTGGTCTAATGACATCAACACCCTATATCAGGTGTGCATAATTATTAGGCAACTTCCTTTCCTTTGGCAAAATGGGTCAAAAGAAGGACTTGACAGGCTCAGAAAAGTCAAAAATAGTGAGATATCTTGCAGAGGGATGCAGCACTCTTAAAATTGCAAAGCTTCTGAAGCGTGATCATCGAACAATCAAGCATTTCATTCAAAATAGTCAACAGGGTCGCAAGAAGCGTGTGGAAAAACCAAGGCGCAAAATAACTGCCCATGAACTGAGAAAAGTCAAGCGTGCAGCTGCCACGATGCCACTTGCCACCAGTTTGGCCATATTTCAGAGCTGCAACATCACTGGAGTGCCCAAAAGCACAAGGTGTGCAATACTCAGAGACATGGCCAAGGTAAGAAAGGCTGAAAGACGACCACCACTGAACAAGACACACAAGCTGAAACGTCAAGACTGGGCCAAGAAATATCTCAAGACTGATTTTTCTAAGGTTTTATGGACTGATGAAATGAGAGTGAGTCTTGATGGGCCAGATGGATGGGCCCGTGGCTGGATTGGTAAAGGGCAGAGAGCTCCAGTCCGACTCAGACGCCAGCAAGGTGGAGGTGGAGTACTGGTTTGGGCTGGTATCATCAAAGATGAGCTTGTGGGGCCTTTTCGGGTTGAGGATGGAGTCAAGCTCAACTCCCAGTCCTACTGCCAGTTCCTGGAAGACACCTTCTTCAAGCAGTGGTACAGGAAGAAGTCTGCATCCTTCAAGAAAAACATGATTTTCATGCAGGACAATGCTCCATCACACGCGTCCAAGTACTCCACAGCGTGGCTGGCAAGAAAGGGTATAAAAGAAGAAAATCTAATGACATGGCCTCCTTGTTCACCTGATCTGAACCCCATTGAGAACCTGTGGTCCATCATCAAATGTGAGATTTACAAGGAGGGAAAACAGTACACCTCTCTGAACAGTGTCTGGGAGGTTGTGGTTGCTGCTGCACGCAATGTTGATGGTGAACAGATCAAAACACTGACAGAATCCATGGATGGCAGGCTTTTTGAGTGTCCTTGCAAAGAAAGGTGGCTATATTGGTCACTGATTTGTTTTTGTTTTGTTTTTGAATGTCAGAAATGTATATTTGTGAATGTTGAGATGTTATATTGGTTTCACTGGTAATAATAAATAATTGAAATGGGTATATATTTGTTTTTTGTTAAGTTGCCTAATAATTATGCACAGTAATAGTCACCTGCACACACAGATATCCCCTAACATAGCTATAACTAAAAACAAACTAAAAACTACTTCCAAAAATATTCAGCTTTGATATTAATGAGTTTTTTGGGTTCATTGAGAACATGGTTGTTGTTCAATAATAAAATTAATCCTCAAAAATACAACTTGCCTAATAATTCTGCACTCCCTGTATATACCTACCACTCCATATAGTACAAGAATATCCTGTGTTTATTTTGTATTTTGTATTCTTCACTTTATAGTTTCATGTTACCTATCTAGATATCACACTATGCGAAGGTATGATATATACATTCAGCTTTTCCCACACTGGTCTCAACAAAACTATTGTGCCTCCTTAGCTGATCTTAACCAACTAAATGCTTCCCTATAGGTTAGGCATACAAGACACTTTGCTGTGCAAAATAAATAATGCTCTAGGAGCAGCATTTGATCTATAACTGAGTTTGATTATAGCAGAGGAAATGCCTCTAGTGCCTGTCTTCCTGACAATCACCGGAGGCGTGTTAACCCTGCAATGTGAACATTGATGGGGTGGTCTCATCATGAGCTTGGGGGTATTTTAACAGGAAACTGTTTATGCTGCAACTGTTAACTTACAACGGTTTAGCAATGGAATTTATAGAACATACATACAGTAACTCTTTGCATGGGTTAAGAATCGTTACCATTGAAATAAGTATAATTTTAATTGGTTGGAGTTATTCCCCTTCCATCTATTAGATTTTCATGTTTCCCTTTTCCTCTTCTACTTTTATGCCTCTTGAGATTGTTGACACAAAGACCAAAACTTGTAAAGTTAACCAACATCCTTCTCCTTATTCCTCTTTCTATGTCAATCATCTCCCTCCAAAGGAGAGAAACATTTTAATGGAAAATAATAATGGTACAATCTGCAGGGACAAGCAATTAACATGGCTGCTCTCATCGACAGGAAGTTGAATGGATGTCATAGAGATAAGTTACATGTCCTATACTCACTGGGGCTATTTTAACTTATAATACCTACTATCTGTGTTTATCAATATACGGTGCTGTAATATTGTGTATTTAAGAAAAAGTTAGTGTCCCTTTAAGAAAAAGTTGAGCACAGTAATGAAGCAGGAACTGCCTTCCATGGTTAGTTGATCTTGGTATCAATAGGATGTACTTTATTTGCCTCACATGCCATTACAATAATGCACTGAGCTGAATCAGAGCTGTAAATAGTGGCTGTGTAAACAAGAGCCTGGATTTGGTGTGCAATCATGATTGACAATTTGATTATTTCACTCTTACATACAGTGACCCAGTTGCTTGCTTGTACATTTTTGGAGAGGGGTACCATTGACATGTTTTTTAGGCCAGATTGCTGACAGTCTTGCTGGAGTACATGTCCTGTTAATGCAGTTTCCTGCTGTCCTTGTGGTGTAAATTCACACTATTGATAATTTAAAACAAGTTCAGCTTTGTATCTGTGACTTGGCTGCAGTGCCGTGTGGAATGTGATGTCATTCTTAATGAGGCTGCAAATAGGAGAAACTGATGCTTAGCACTAAAACTGAATTACGAGTGGACGTTGTTTTATTCCCTTACAGGTCCGTTCATTCAAACCGGTGGATGCTGAAAGACTTTCCAGTTCTGTTTCCACAGCTGTGTTTCTCTCTCTCTCTCTTTTTTTTTTTTAAAACGTTGCCAATATAATTTGCTGAGAAATTGCAGACAGCTTGCAGGTCAGGATATTAATTTTACTACTACATAATGTTAAGGGACCGGCAATGTTGTAAATAACTTTTACACAGCAAAAAAATATACTTTTCAGTGTGTAGTGGGTGGTATATTTAATATTTTTTCAGTAATATTTTAACTCTTAAGTTGGAGCTGTCCTTGACAATCCATAGTACACTGAGCCCTAAAACTAAGCCACTATGCCATAAAACGAGGCTCAACATTTCCATTCTCCATTGACTTCAGGACCTACAGCCTGGATTTTAAGTATTTCCCAATTCTATATCAATGTGAATACTGAAAAAAAACCTGGACAAACATTGTGCCTGGTAAATTTGGCTGAGGACCACTACTTACCATTTGTGCTACATAACCAACACTTGCCTACTTTAGTCACGTGAAACATATTTATTTCAACACACAATTTCACTGTATGCTAGTAAGAGATACGGAACAAAAGCAGAGTAACGAAGAACTGGATATATTAAAAAGTATATAGCTTTTATTGGGCAGAAGTTGAATACCACTCAGTATTTACAAAAGACTTCTATTGGTGTAAGAATAAAACGTAGATTGCACACATTTAGATTGCAGAGTACACAAAACCCATGTACACAAATGCAAGAACACATGGACAGTTAGTGTATAACACATTTCCTAAACACCTGCCCTCTACAGACATTTTAGCTTTATTTAGGAAGTAAAATGCATATTTTTAAGCCTTATGGTGCTTTTTGCGTTGATGTTTTGCTAGATTATATGGTGCATGGGAATCACTTGCCTGAAGAAATTCCTTTAATTTTTATGTTGTAGGAAAAGCTTGATAGTTATTGCTGTACACTTGAAGAAAGCAATCCTATGGTTCTCCAGCTATTGTTGATCAACCACTATTAACAACTCTCAGATGAACGTTAAATATCATATTGTAGCAGTTATAGAAAACACATTTGACCTGGAATCCCATTGAAGAGTTCTTTGGAATCTTGAAAAGCCGAATTGCTTTACTCCACAAGTAGGACAAAGCAAGTTTCAATAGGCAGATATTTGCAATTAACTAGCTGGATGTGGAAAGCGTAGATCAACAATAGTGGGGCATCCATAAGTAGTTACTGCCGGTCCTGACTGTAAGGCACTAATGGCCTCTCTATCAACAAGGGCTATGGTGGGATGTTAGACAAGTTCAACTTTGGCATTGGGGTACACAGCCACAACATCATATCCTTCAGGAGGTTTGACTCTCTCCTTGGCGTGAGTTTCGCAGTAAAGCTGCTCTTCGATGAAGAAGTACCCTCTCTGTTTCAGGTTAAGGCCACAGTCATCGCACATGAAACATTCTGGGTGGTACAGCTTGTCTCGTGCTTTTACTATTGTACCACTAAAAAACAGACATAAATATGAAATCCATTATTACGATTGCATTCACTGCAGCAAACAATGTAAAATGAAGATAAAAGTAAAAATATGTAAATGTTTTATCACTGCTTGCCTCACAGAAATTCACAATACAGATACTGGTTGGACCTGATCCTGGTTGTGTCTAAAATAATCAACAATCTATTCTTCGGTAACCAAAATTAAAGGAACACTAGCGTTAGAATTACATATCTGTATTTCTAATGCTACAGTTTTGAAGTCCCTCCCACAGTGCTCGTTACAAAATTAAATTTAACAAATAAAAATAAATTTAATGTCGCGAACTCCTCCTTGGCTGATGCTATTTTTGGGGCATGTCTCCAGGATGATAGCCCAATGCAATGGTCCTCATACAATGATTCTCTATGGCAGACCGTGACGGCACGGCACATTTGCGTGTCACATCATGGTATGTTAGGGTACGGGAGCCAGGAAGTAACAGCCCCGACTCTCATACCCAGAGCCGTAGAGGTAGGGCAGGGCTTCCAAGCTTTCTAATTAATAAAATAATAGGACTGATAGGGCTGCATGCACTATTACAACTTCAATATGTTTTTTTTAGTGCCTACATTGTTCCTTTATCAGCCAAGCCTATAGCATAATAATGAGTCGTTAGTTAGATGAACCAAAACAGTGGTTCTTTTCCACTACCTTTAACAGATACAGTAGAAACGGCTTCATGTTTGTAAAATATATAAAATATATCACTGTTTGGGGTTTGCAAAGTCCTCCATTTGTAGAATTTAGTTTTCTCTCTTTAAGTGCAATTATCTCTCTTTTTACAGGGTTATTTAAAGGAGAAGTTAATTGGAGGGTAGCTGAGGGTTATAGGGGCTGCAAAAATGGCTAAGGGCGGAGTGAAAGTGTGCTATAACTCCTGGCAGCAGGCAACATACTCTTCTCTGCATTACTATGTGAAGTTACACTACATATCATAATGGAGCAGGGAAGCATGATGATGGCTGCTGTCACCTATACAACACCACGGTAAATGCGTGTGTGTATGTGTCTGACAGGGTGTGTTACTGACAGTGTGTGGCTGTAACTGACAGGGGGTGTGTGCGTGTGTGTGTCTGTCAGAATGTTTATGTATGTATGTGTCTGACAGTGTGCGTTACAGGCAGTGTGTTTGTGTGTGACAGGGTATGTGTGTCAGTATGAGTACGTGTCTGACAGTGTATTTTTGGTGACTGTGTGAGTGTGTATATATGTCTCTGACATTGTGCACCTGTGTGTGTCTGAGAACTTGTCTCTATGTTTGGTGGAAGTGAATATTGTATATGTTTGGTTTTTCTGGCAGTTGTATCAGTGAGTGTGTTTGGAATATCTATGTATATGTATGTATGTATGTGCATTAACATTTGCATATGCGTGCGTTAATCAAAGTGTGAATAAATGTGCATGTATCAGTGTATATATGTGTGCATGTATTAGAATGTGTGTGTCCAAACAACCAACATCGCTGCAGTGAGGGTGATATGGTATGGGCAATGTCATGTCAATGTCACAACATATATTATATTTATACAATACGTATTTATTGCTTTACAACACTTTTTCCTCGACTGTTACTTCATTATTTGGTAAATATATATATATTTTTTTATGTTTTTCTCTCAAACCAACAATTTTGTTATTTTTTTTCATTTAATAAGTGCATACTGAAATAAAAAATAAATCTCAGTATGTATAGATAGGACACCCAATTCATTTGCAAGCCACTTAGTAGTGAAGAGGTGAAAGGAATACTATAGCATTAGGAATACAAGTCTGTATTCCTAACAATATAGTGTTGCTGCCCCTCCCCTGGTTTTGTCACAGAGGACACATGGCCTCCTACAGCGTGGTCCAATTCAATCCTCCTCATGGAGGAGCATTGGAGAGCAAATGCGCAGACACTGAATTAAGCTTTCCTGTAGGGTTTCCGCATCACGTGACCAAGTATTACTTGATTCCACTACAGGTGGTTTTAACCCTGAAATGCAATGTAATGTGCAAAAATTCTCTTTGCACCAAAACCACTTCATTAAGATGAAGTGGTCTGGGTGACTATAGTGACCGTTTAAAGTTCTAGGAAATCAGCAAAGATGTAAGTTTGTGTAACTCAAATATGTTGATCTTGTTCTAGATTACATCACTGCAAATTAATAGATTGTGAAAATGTCCTAAAAATGTCCTACCTTGGCTGCACATCTATTCACGCCATCTAAAAACATTTTCCTTTTTTGTTCCACTTTAAATCTTTGGTAATTATGACAAAGAATGACTGCTCATAAGCAACAAATAAGGCATGGAATATATTAAACCTTGGTTTCTTGATTCATCATATCACATATGTGAATAATGCCTGCCAAGTTATTTTACTTTGACATTAAATAAAATATCTTATTTTGGAATTTTTTGTGTTTAGCTCCTTTCATACTGGAGTTCTGTTCGAAAAACTCTGTCCTCTTTTTACCTTTTCCTAGTGCTACACAAAATACCAAAGTGAATTATATGCACATAATATCCCTGTGTGTGTACACTATGACGTGTCACCCTCTAGGATAGGAATGGAAGTAATCAAAATGTGTTTTTACGGGGCGGAGCTCAACCACCAGCCTGAACAGACGCCACGCATGCAAGCTCCTCCAAATTACAGCGCAAAACCCCCCAAAAACCCCAAAACTAAAGCCCAGACGGACCCCAAAACCCGACAGTCACGTCCCCCAATACCATCCGAGGCGATAGATGCCTTTTTTTCAACCAAAGGCCCAGCCCGGACGAAAACGGAAAACCGGGGCCTACCCCACGTTGTCCCTGCCAAGCCTGGAAGCACTCCTCCGGCAACAGGCGAACGACGGGAGCCCTCCCCAAGCACAAGAGGCCTCACCCCACACGCCAGCGATGGGTCGCCGCTCGCAAAAGATGGCGGCTGTGGAGCACAGAGATATCAGAACGATGTCCCAGAGGCCCATGCAGCCCCAACCCACACCCGCAGAGCCCGCGTGGCAGGTCACTGGTACAAGGCCTGAAGCTCACTCAAACCCAAATGAGCAAGCAAGGGCAGAGGGGCCGGCGGACACTCACCTGCAGCCATCAGATGCTCCCACTGACACCACACCAACGACCAGACAAGACCTGAAAGTACTATTGATGGACTTTCATAAAATACTTGCAGCTGAATTAGCTCCTATTAAAAATAACATGAATGCCATCACAGACCGAGTACAGGCCTCGGAGAGGGACATAGCAGACGTCCTGACACAGGTACAAGACCTCCAGACCTCGGTCCAACAAATATGGGCTCACCAAAGAGCTGTCACCTCACACATCACAGCAATGGAGGATCGCCACCGCCGTACTAATGTGAAGATAAGGGGCGTCCCAACTGCAGTTGCGGCGGACGAGCTCCCCCATTATGCCAGACGGTTGCTAACCACCCTCCTGTCAGGGCCGGACTGGGGATACAAAGCAGCCCTGGAAAAAAAATTTGCGCCAGCCCCATAAGTCACTGCGCCATATATTGTCGCGTGTAATATGTAAGGCTATGTCTTGCCAGGACAGATGATTGAGTAATATATATATATATATATATATATATATATTGCTTTTTCTAATATAAAATATTGGTCCTTTCAGGGTAAAACGTTTAATTATACAGTAAGCATACTCACATGCAGACACAGGCAATTTCACTGACATCTCAATGACACACACAAGCTCATTGATACACAGCCTCATAGACAAACAATCTTACTGATATACATCAGCTCA